CTTTCCCTAGCTCTCCATCTGCTTAGAATTCTGGGCATGCACATAAGGTGTGTGGTGTTTTTCAGACCAACCCAGATATCTGACCCATGGTTAGTAATGTGCCTTCCAACACCGCAGTTCAGTAAGCTACTAACAGCATCACCAGTACTGAACCTTTTAATAAAGATTGCTAAAAAAAACCTTTGAAAACATAAAGAATATTGGAGGTTTGTTTTTGTTTTTGTTTTCTGTTTTGTTTTGTTTTTAGAGAGGTTCTTTTCTATAGGGCATGTGTGCTTGCAAAGGAAGACAGAGACAGAGAGACAGAAAGCGAGAAATCACTCCAGAGGGGATGGCCACACTGGGATCCCTTCTCCTCCATTCTCCTTTCAAGATCTTGGGCATGTACACACACTCACCCAGCATAAGTTTAAGCCACCAGGTCCGGGATTTGAACTATGGTAGACTACATGGGAGTCCAGTAACATAGCCATTAAGTCAACTGCTAGTACCAAGAAAAGTGGAGATTTTTAACAACAAAAAACATGTGCTTTAATGTAAGATAGCAAATCACTACACTCTACTGGGAAAGAAGAAAAAATTAACATACTTGTAATTTTTCTTCTATGCATCTAGTAGTTTACTCACAATATTATTCTTTTTACATTGTCAACATTCTCAACACTTTTTTTTCTGATTTGTAATCAAAATTACTACAGCAGTTTAGTTTGAAAATATATTTATATGAAGTACATGCTCACCATCAATCCTTTTTTCATGGCTTTGCCAGGTCTGAATATTGTTTTTCTTGCCATCCCCATCCCTAAAGCTAGATATACCTATAGTTTAGAGTCAAATTGTCAGAGCTTTATATGAAAAATGCAGCCCCTCTTCCATTAGCCCTGTTTCCTATTTCTTGGAGACAACCACTTTCAATTCTTTAAGTTAGTTATTAATATTGTTATATCCTAATTTCTCAGTTATTGGCATTATCTACTTATTTTCTACTGTGGATGATGAGGATTTCATAGCCACTCATACCATGGCTATGTCCTAGCATCCTGGGAATTATCTCCATCTGTCAGATTTAACATCCTAATACCTGGCTTCCATACTTCCTTTTATTATTTCAATCATCAGTTGTAGTGAAGCAGCATAATATACCAGGAGCTTTCTAAGAAAGGGTTGTGACTGGGAAGAATACATTGCTGACAACTCACATGTCTAAAAATGTCTTAATTTTATCCTTAACTTTAATTGATAATACTAGATTTCAGGTTGGATAGTTTTATCCCTCTGAATTTTAACACTAATATTCTACTGTTTTCTTGCTTTCAAAGTCTTTGCCAAGAAGTCTGAGGGCATTTTGAATCTAAAGTTGCTTGTTTTTTTTTTGTTTGTTTGTTTGTTTTTGGGGAGGTTTTTGCTATAGGGTGCATGCGCTTGCCAGACAGACAGAGAGAGATAGAGAGACAGAAAGCAAGAAATCACCCCCCAGGGGGGTGGCCACACTGCAATCCCTTCTCCTCCATTCTCCTCTCGGGATCTTGGGCACGCACGCACACGCGCCCAGCGTGAGTTTTAAGCCACCGGGTCCGGGACGTGAACCGCGGTCGACTACATGGGAGTCCAGCGACATAGCCATTACACTAACTGCTGGTCCCGAGTCTAAAGTTTTTGAGTAAAGACACTTCTACCTCTGTCCTCCACCTTCTGAAACTTCATGGATTTTTTTTTCTTTGTCCTCAAGTAATTTGAGCTTTCATGGTAGTGAGACATAGTCTAGATCATATTTTTATCCATTCAGTGGATCATTTCAACCTGCAAATTTAATATACTGAGTGCCTGGAAATTTTCTTAGATAATTTCTTTGATGATTTCCTGTCCATTAATTCCTTCTGGAGCTCCTCTTATTTTAATATTGGACCTTGTAAATACTGCCTTTATTATTTTTTTCTTCCTTTTTCTATTTTCTACCCTTACTCTTTTTTTTTTTTTTTTAAATCACCTTCTGGGTGATTTTCTCAAGATAACTTTTCAAGTTTTCTATGGAATTCTTTATTTCTACTAGTACATATATTTAGTTTCTAAGATCTCTTTTTTATTATCTAAATATTCCTTTATATAACACATTGATCTTATTTCTTCCAAAAAAACTTCTCTGGATTTAATGTCTTACATATTTTCCCCTAAAAAAATTATTTTCCTTGAAGATTTTCTCCACTTACTTGGTTGTATTTCATATTATACACATTTCTCAAATATATATTGACCATTTGGTATCTGCTAATATTTAATAATGGTGGTCAAAGAGCTGATCAAATTCTCTATGTGTGTGTGTGTGTGTGGGGGGGAGTGCCTGCTAAAAATTGCTTTTATTATAGCTGTTCTATCTATCTATGTAGTTGCTTTGTTGAAAGAACCTTCAGAATGCCTGGTTGTTTGGCTTTGATTAAGCGATAATAATACCAGTGTGATTTATGTGAGGTTTAAGGTTAAAAACTCTCCTGACAACCATTGGGTCAATATTTTTTTGATCTAAGATCCTGCTGAGATTTTCAGCTTTGAGCCCCCGTGAAGTTAAGATTTATCATAGTAGTTTTGGTGATCCATTCTAGATAGATCAGAATTCTCAGATCAGGAAAACTCTCTTTTTTGAATGGATATAATTCTGGCTGTTAGCTCTCTATAGTCAAATTGGGAATAGTCTAGCATACAAATTTGCAAACACTGCACTTGATTTCAACTGTGTCTCAGTTTCTCTTGTCAGACACTTTTAGTGGATGAAAAAAATCATCGTGCTAGCAGTTTTAATCAACCTTACTGATTTTTATCCCACTTTCACCCCTACTCCCAAAAGTTTTGGGTACCATATAGGGTTCTTTACTTACTTCACTGCTGTATTAGGGCTCAAGTTTCTTGGGTTTGCTAAGCTCTTCACCCCTCACTTATCTGTTTATACCTTCCATAATGCTGTCTGTTCTCCCTTGCTATTGTTTTGGTGGGTTAACTTCTTTTAAACCAAAACCCAAACACTTTCTGTAATTTTAAGGGAATTTTGGAAAGAAACATATTTAGATGCATTTATTAAATTCATCATCTTTAACCGAATGTTAGTGATTCCTGAGTTCTTTAATACTGGGTTGTAAAAGTCATGACATATTTTTTGTATGCAAAAATGCGTCATGACTTTTCTGACAACTCAACATTTTTTATCTCCAGGTTGACTATTTGTATTGTTAAAGTCATTCCTGTACTGTATATAGTTACAGAAATTCTAGATAATTTACATGTATAAGAATATGTAGGCAAAACTTATTTACTTACATTTTTTCCTCATAACAAAATATTTTCTATAATTTTTTTTGCCCATTTAGTGCACTCAAGAGAAGAGTCTGCAAATTACTTTTTCTCCCTGCCTGAATTTTTTTTTAATCCTTTGGATTCACTAAGTGCAGTCTGTCTTAATGTTCATCTTTCAATTTTTCTTAGACTACAATGTGCGCTTTTAAACTACAGATTGAAATTCATTTGTTCAGTTCTTTTTTCAGGAACACCAATTACGTATTTGTTGGGATTTGTTGCTTTTCATAAGGTCTATTTCATAACATTTTCTAAATTATCTTCACATTATTATGTGAAGCATACTTAATAAATGGTAACGATTTTTATTCAGGGTCTGACAACTGATCACTCTAGACAGAAATCTTACTATAGTACATAGTCCTTTGTGTCTCAGCCAAGGAGTTTCTCATCCTTCTGACCTTTGTCTAACACATATATTTCTATTATTTGTCCTATAACATTCAGGTCACCTAATTAACTGTATCAGGAAGATTCATAAGGGTTTATCAATATCTAATATGTGCAAAATACATATCAGTTGGCATTACTATGTGATCTATATCTAGTTTAGAAGTTCATTTAATTTAAATAGTTGTTATGTTACTTTTTATCTTTCAGAAAACAGGACCTACTACTATCAAGGAAGCTTTAAAGTGCTGAATATTCCATATAACAGAAATTACGAAAGGGAGACATCACCAGAAAATAACTACCTTAGTAAAATTCTTGAGACGAAGGTAAGCTAGTATTTTCCTGTATTTGTTTCACTATTAATTCTCTGGGTATAAATAATACTGAAATTTGATGTTTGATTCATATTTTCTTTTAACAGATGGTTGATGCATTTCACACTTCTAGCATTTACAGACAATATATCAATTCTCAAGTCATCACACTGGTGTAAGTAACTAACATTAATTGTCAGGAAAAAGATCAACCTACATGCATGCCATTATAGTTGAAGTTCCTTTGTAAAAAGAGTCTAGTGATATGTTATAGTCACTAATGAATAAGCTGGTAATATCTAGCATTATCCTAAGAATCACACTAATTGTTTCATATAAAAGCAAAGCAAACATTGGGGCTATATTGTTAAGTTTATGTGATTTACTGGGAATGCATTTATTCTCAAATTATAGATGGCTCATCCTTCTTCTTTCCTAAGTATTTATATACAAAAAACACTGAATGTTTCCTTCTACTAATTTTTTTTTTCATTTTATATAACTTTATTTATTTATTTTTTAGCTTGACCAGAGAGGAAAACAGAGAGAGAGAGAGAGAGAGAGAGAGAGAGAGAGAGAGAAAGAGAAAGAGAAAGAGAAAGAGAAAGAGAAAGAGAAAGAGAAAGAGAAAGAGAAAGAGAAAGAGAAAGAGAAAGAGAAAGAGAAAGAGAAAGAGAAAGAGAAAGAGAAAGAGAAAGAGAAAGAGAAAGAGAAAGAGAAAGAGAAAGAGAAAGAGAAAGAGAAAGAGAAAGAGAAAGAGAAAGAGAAAGAGAAAGAGAAAGAGAAAGTGAGAAAGCAAGCTGCCAGGTCTGGGACTTGAACCACGGTCTGCCATATGGGAGTCCAACACCCTTAACCACCATGTTACCTGCCAGCCCCACCTTCTACTAATGTTTGATGATTTAACGTTTTTATTTAGCTGTAGCATAATCATAAATATTGCTTTCTCCTATCTTTCTACTTCCAAGTCAGCTAAACACCTTATATAACTGTTCCAAGAGTTTTTGTTATAGGGTAGAAAAGAACACACCTACACTAGGCTTTGATGCTAAAGACAATCATCTAGCCACCATAACAGGAAGTATAATAAAATAGCTATGCTGTGTTCCATGTGTATAGGTTTGGAGTAGCGTGGAATATCAGAGGGAGCCCTAGAAAGTACTCAGACAATCTGAACCCAGGCTTTGTGACTTAGCTGCCCTAGTGTCGTGAGTGGGTCAATAAATCCCCTATTTTATGAAATGTTAAGAAAAAAACGTTCCCTGCCTTGCTCATAACTGTGCTCAGGATCAAAGAGATAACAGGTGAAAATATATGCAAATAAACACATTTCAAATGAAGACAATTATTGTTTTTACCTCCATCAGTGCCACCAGACTATATCTATCCTTATTTCCCTGCTCCTGGGACTATACAGCTTCTGGAATTAAAAAAAGAATTAAGGTCCCAAGTAGCATTAACCTGGGTGCTGACTTTAGTACTCGATAGAAGTGACAGACTGAAGCTGAGGGGGTCTAAGTATCTCCCAGAGACAACTATAATTACCGGAAGGCTTCTACTTTGCTCTCCCATGCATGTAACTTCTGGTATCTCTAGGTAGCATAGGCTCAGAAAAAGTTATGGAGACGTCACAGGACAGAGTTGTTTTTTAACTGTGGTACATACTGTTACAATAATCAAACTTGCGTAAGCTGAGTGTTTCCTAAGAGTCGTTATTGATTTATACGTTAAAAGGTTAAGCATCCTCTAGCAAAACCCAAAGCATAATACTGCCACTTCAGCACTCACCTCAGGACTCCTTGACAACTCCTACATGCCCATTGCTCAGCCTCTTGGGCTGGCCATCTCTTTCCCAATTCCAGATAAATATCTCCTGAATACCAATTTCAGATTAATCTCCCTCAACCACAGTGTTATTTAAAAACTTCTGTCATTGCTACTTCTTGGCTAACATTGAAATCCCTCCTTCCCTTGAGCCCAATCTAGACACTGTACTCATGAGATGTCTGGGTCTAAAGTTCCTAATATAAAGAGCTCAGGTTATAGAGTCAACTGTGCTAAATCTGAGCCCTAGTTTAATAGCTGTGTACTTGAGCATATAACATAACCTCTGAGATCCTCATTTTTTTTCCTTGTGTGTAAAATGGAGATAATGATACCTGGGCTGCACGATAATTGTGGAGACTAAGTGTGTTAATTAATGTGGTAGCGAAGTGCCTGAAACATAACAGATGCCCACTAAATGCTAATTAATGTAACTGGCATCCAGTTAGTTTGCGGTACTGTTACTCCTCATCTCTGATGAAATGATCTGCTGGATGATGAAATAGCAACAGCAGAAGGTCCAGTGTGTATGTCATAAAAATTTTTATAATCCTTTAGGTAAAACATGACTTACCTCTCATTGGAATATGTCCAAGTAAGAGAAATATGGTATTGCTTTTGCTATACATAATTTAGTGATTTGCACACATGTCTTATCTCTCCTAAAAGTCTGGAAATTCCTTGAGGGTGGGAATCATGTCTTAGACTCCCTTGTATCACCCAATAGACACCTACCAGTTGCCTTTCTATAGTAGCTGCTTATTGAATGACGGATGAGTGCATACACAAATCTCAGTTCTTAGGCGATAGCTGTACCCTGAATCTCAGGCCTTTCTTATTTCTTCAGAATTGTGCAACTACTTGTCCTCTAGCCTGACTAATATAATAACATTCATGTTGTCATCAAGTAAATTTAGGCAGATGGATGATTCTGTGATTAACCTAAAGTGAAGATATGTACTACACAAACCTGGAAAAGAGCAGAAGAAATCAAGCTAGAAAAGATCAGGGAATAAGGGCGAAAAATGCTCTTTTTTTTTAGCAATATATGAAACCTTTATGTTGTTTCCAGTCCTGATAACGACAACAGTGTGACAGCACATATATGGCTGGTATTCAAGGCTCCCAGATCAACAAAGGACAACACAAGAAGAAGAATTGAAAACGTCTTACATCAGATGCTGAAGAACCAGTCAGGATCCTTGACTACAGATCCTAATTCTCTTAGGCTCACGGGTAAGCTCACATATTAGAGAGGAGAATTAGTTCATCATTTTATCACGTATCACAATTACCAGACACAAAGCTGATCTTCTATATTTTTTTAAATTAATAAGTGGCTGTTTTATACCAGAGCAATTATTTGTATTCATTATTAAAAACAATCACAATAAGGTCATGCCTTATAGTTAGTTCTGGGTGGAAGAAACATTTTTGTCATTCTAAAGCAGATAGTAATACTTAATATTAAACTCAGATATTAGTTTTTGTAAGCAATGGTGTGTCTTCTTATTCATTTCATAATTTTTTATCCATGAACACAAGTCTGACTTTAGGCATAAACCTCAGTGAATAGAATGAACATACTATAAAGTAGCACCTAACTAGGGCTATATAGCTTAACTGCAGTCATCAAATAGGTATTTCTAATGCCTTTTTTTTTTTTCTTCTGAAATTTTTTTTATTAATTTACATTCATTCCCTGAGCATCATCACAACATTCTAAATGTGGTTTCCCATCTAGAATATACTGTATAGTGGCTTAGTAATGCATGTTCTCATCCATAATATTCCATTTCTACTTTCATATATATGTTTTTTTACCCCATGTCTAGCCCTCTGCCCTATTCCACTCTCTTATTACACTATCTCTGCTGTCTACAGTTGTCTTCAATCCCTTTTCCCCCAACATTTCGTTGGTCACACAATATCATAAGTAATCTAACTACTTTCAATAGCAAGATCAGCCGATGGTTTCAAGAAAAGCAGTTTTGAACTGGTAAGGATATTTCTTTGAAACTTAAAGCCTAGAAACAGGTTAGTATTCTGTTCAAATAGTAGGAACATGAATCTATTGATAGCTGAAGACAGGACAAAAGTCCTTAAAACCAGACAACAAAGCTTAGAAGAAAAGCAGCAATATTTTAGTCAAGTCGTAGAATACTGTTTCATCAGTTCAGTCTCATGTACTTAATCTTTCTTCTGTATCTGTTGAGGTTCGATGTTCCAGATTGAAATCTGGGATGTAATACTCAACTCCAGCTTTTGGCCCTACAATTAAGTTGCCCATTTTCTTAGTTTCTGAACTCTTATTTCTGTGTGTCTGCATTTAATTTTACTGACATAGCACTCCCTTAAGAACTTCTTGGAGATCCGGTCTGGTGCTGGTAAATTCTTTCAGGTTTTGTTTATCTGGGAAAGTTCGTGTCTTTTCTTCCCAAATGAACGATAACCTTGCTGGGTACAGAATTCTCGGTTGAAATTGCTTTTCCCTTAATACTTTGAATACATTTTCCCATTCTCTCCTCGCTCTCATTGTTTCCGATGAGAGGTCTGCCGTTAGTCTGATGGGATACCCTTTGTAGGTAACTTGCCTTTTTTCTCTTGCCAGTCTTAGTATCTTGTCTTTGTCTGTGGTTTTGGTCAATCTGGCTATAATGTGTCTTGGAGAAGATCTTCTTGGGTTGATTCTATTTGGGGTCCTCTGTATTTCTTGGGACTGAATCTTTGAGTGCCTCTCCAGGTTTGGAAAATTTTCTTGTAAGATTTCATGGAATAGATTATCAATGCCCTTATGAGTCTCTTCACCTTCTGGGATGCCTATTATCCGGATGTTTGGACGTTTGATGGTATCTAGTACTTCTCGCATATTATTCTCAAATTTTTGGGTCATTCTCAGTCTTCGTGGTGGATTTTTCTAGGCCAACCATTTTCTCTTCTACATTAGAGATTCTATTTTCTGTATGATCTAGTCTGCTTTTAATACTTTCAAGGGAGATTTTGACTTCTTGTATTATAGCCTTCATCTCTAACAGTTCCATCTGATTCTTTTGTAAAGTGTGAAATTCCTCTTTTAGATCTAGCATGAATTTCCTCACCTCCTGGAACTCTTCAACTCCTTTCTCCTTCCTCTTCAGCAGTTCCTTGTCTCTCTTCTCTTCCATCTCTGTTAGCTTTGCCATTATGAATGTTCTGAATTCTTTATCAGACATTTCCATGATTTCCATTGAACTGTGTGTGGATAAAGAGGAGCTATCCTTTTCCCTTGTGGGAGAGGTATTTTCCTGCTTCCCCATATTTCTTGTGGTCCTGCAGCGATTTCTAGTCATCTGGTGGATGGTCGGTATCTTCCCAAACTTGGAAGTTCAATCACGCGAGTTTTGGATGCTGGAGGCCCAGTTATCAGTGGGACATCTTCCTTTCTCCCCAAATGGCTAGATCACAGGAGCCATGGAGCTGTCTGCCTCTTGAAGAAGGGCTGTTCACGCGAGTTTTGGATGCTGGAGGCCCAGTTATCAGTGGGACATCTTCCTTTCTCCCCAAATGGCTAGATCCTCATTTCATAATTTTTTAAAACTTTCAAAAACAATACAGGATCTGCAACTACAAGACAAGTCACTTTTTCTAAAGTTTTTGGTGAAGAGAGTCAGGGAGAGCCAGAGAGAGTAAAAGTCAGAAATCACACCCCGGGGGGGATGCCACACCACAATCCCTTCTCCTCCATTCTCCTCAGATTTTGGACACACACGCACATGCACTCAGCATGTTTTAAGCCTCTAGGTCTGGGACTTAACTGTGGTCAGTCATGTGGGAGTTCAGTGTCTAACCTATATGCCACTTATTGGCCTGAAAAGTCCTTTTAAACGTTATTTTCATGTACTGATAAGAATAAGATTTACAAGTGAGGACTTCTTTAAACAAACAAAAAAACTATCAATTTTTCTCTTTAGATTATGTAGAATACAATTTCGACTAAATAAAAAGAAGCTTCTCACTATGAAGATTTTATTTCCATATCATACATTCACATATTATAAAAGAATAATTCCAATGAGCAGGGTTGACTCCTTATATTAACACTTAATCCTGAGATTCCAAATTATTTATGGATTCTTCTGCTCTGCTAAATGGAGTGTCTTACTCCATTGCCCCAGGGGGCAGGGTGTTGGGTATTATATTTACTAAACACTTTTTGCTTTATTTTAGAAATCAGTAAGGTTGATGCTGAGAAGATGATCAACAACCGTAAGTTCATTTAACTTTTTAATTAAATGCATGAGATGATCTAAAACATAATGGCCAAAATTTGTTACTCTAAGTAAGGCACAGTTCAAAGTGCTTTACATACACTAATTTATTTAATCCTCGCAACAGTCCTAGAGATAGGGATGATTATGACTCCATTTTAGACAGGAGGATTCTGAGGCACAAAGAACTGAAAATAATTGCCTAGATTCATCCAGCTTATAAATGATGGGGTCAGAATTTAAACTCAGGGAGTCTGGTTAAAGAGAGCCCGAGACTTAAGGATGACTTTGTCTACCTCTCACGGCTTATGTGTTTTGTAAGTGCTACTGCATCTTGGAGGTACTCTGCTGGGTATGGAGGTGATTCAGGGGCTGCTAGTCATTCCTGCAAAGATGACCTACTATTCCTATCTGTTCAAGACATTGTCAGATATAAGCATCCAAGGACAACTCAGCACAATTTCTTGCTTGTAGTCAAATAAACATTATCTTCCTGCTCTCAATGAAATAAAACTGACCTTTCCTGACAGGCTGTGGGAGACGAGCGAGGATGTCAGCCACGTACGATAGAATCAAGGGAGGTTCCAATGCTCAGGAAGGAGAATGGCCATGGCAAGCAAGTCTCAAAATAAATGGTCGGCACTACTGTGGGGCGTCATTGATCAGCGACAGATACCTGGTGACGGCAGCTCACTGCTTTCAAAAGTAAATTCATTATGTTGCCCGAGGCTGGGGAAGACCAAATGCCCAGGGACAGTTCCAGTTTGCACCTATAATCCCTGCTTAATTGGTAGTAGTACTCCCTTTCATTCTTGAAAGTGTGGCCCACCCTGTAAGGCAATGGTTAAGCACTATGCAAAACATGGCTGATGGGGGATGAATCATGGCCCTGGCAGCAAAACACTGGGTACATACATGTGTATCCAGAATCCTGACAGGATGGGCAACGAGGAAGGAATGCAGTGTGAGCAGGTCCCAGTTAGGGGTGCTCTCTCTCTCTCCTTGTTGATCTCATTCCCAAGTGTGTGTGTGCATGCTCAATTATGAATAAAGGAAAAAAGTGTTTTCAAGTGTCCTGGTTTGGAAGATAATTGTATGTTAAGCTTAAGACTTCCCTGCTTTACTAGTAAAAATGATAAGGTCATTTGTCCTTTTTGTTTGTTTTTAGTGTGCTCACCAGAGACAGAGAGAAAGAGATAGTAGAGAGAGAGAGAGGACACGTTCAGAAATCACCCCCTGGGGAGATGATGGCCACGCTGCGATCTTTTCTTCTCCATTCCCCTCTTGGGACTCTGGGTGTGATTTTCAAGCCACCAGGTCCAGACTTGAACCATTCAGACAGCCATGTGGGATCCCAGCACCTGCTGGCCTGCCCCCGTATATAACAATATGGCTTTCTTACTTTTAAAGGATAGTAGTAATCTGTTGGTCTTAGGAACCAAAAAATTTGTGCAACTCCAAATAAAAGTAATAAATATATTCTCATCTATAATAATGTTATTCAATGTTGATATTACACCTTTTTATTATATGATTCTTTTTTCTCATCAGTTTATTTTTCACATATCCTAAACTACTTGTAGTTGCTAAAATATATCCTGTTTCATACCACTCTCCCTTTTTGCACATATGTGCTCTCTCCTCCTCATCTTTTAGACAAATTTAACTCAATTCTATAATCTCCTTTAAAATGCTACTTTTCCCATGAAATCAGTTCCCTTCATCAAATGGATTTAAGCCTTCCTATTTAGTAGTCCCAATAATTATATACATAATAATTTAAATAATTATTATAATTGCCCATGTTTATTATCATCTTTTATTAGACTTAAGCATATTGAAAATATGGCTATGGGGGCTGGCTCTGTGGTCTGATGGTTAAAGCAGCTGGATCCTATATGCCTGACCATGCAGTTTGAGTCTCAGATTGAGTGGCTTAAGAAACATGCCAGGAGTGTGCGGGTGTATGCCCAGAATCCCGAAAGGAGAGAAAGGTGGACGAGGGTAATTACAGCATGAACATTGTCCAGGGTTTGGTTGGATGGTTTCTTCTCTTCCCCCTCTCTGTTTTTCTGCCTTACCTTATCGAGTGCATGAACTTTGGCCAAAAAAAAAAGGAAGAAAGCAATATGGCTACTTCTTTTCATTTCTATATTCCTGTTAAATTACATAATGTATGGTGCAGCAACAGGGGCTCAAACAAATTTTTTAAGTGAATTTAATAAACTCAAATTATATCATTGTTAATAGGCTACAGAGCAAGGAACTGTAAATGTCATGAAAAGAATACAGTAGATGCAAAACATATTTGTATTATTTTCAAGTAAAAACAGGTTTTGATTTTTGTTCCTCTAGGACAAAAAATCCAAACAACTATTCTGTCAGTTTTGGCACTAAAGTAAATCCCCCCTATATGCAACATTATGTTCAACAAATCATTACCCATGAAAACTACATCCAGGGTCAACATCATGATGATATTGCAGTTATACAGCTCACTGAAAGAGTCTTATTTAAGAATGATGTACATCGAGTTTGTCTTCCTGAAGCTACACAGATTTTCCCTCCGGGTGAAGGAGTTGTTGTTACAGGATGGGGAGCATTTTCATATAATGGTAAGTCCAGTGAAAACTTAACAGAGTGTGTAATTAGAAAAATTAATGATCTAGCTACAGAGTCAAAGGCATAATGTCCCTCCATATACCCATTACTCCCTGGTGATCTCCCAGGGAAAGGCACATATAGAGTTAAGATTTTTCAAGTTGCCTTGATTTGAAACACTCCAAGAAGACCAATTTGTTTGTAGAGGCTTTCTAACCTGGAGAACCTAAATGAGAGAGTTTTAGTCCAAAGATGTAGAAGAGAGAAAAGGGCCTAGAAAGGCATCATATAAAGATATTTAAATTATACTTTGAACATTAAGTGAAGGAAATGAACTGAGTGAATTTTTTCATCCTAAGAGTAGGCAACAATCAAGCAGGAAAAGCAAGTTTTCCATCCTGCTCTGTTTTAGAGCAGTTCTTTTGCTAATTGTGTTTACTTCCTTTAGGTGAATACCCAGTATTACTTCAGAAAGCACCTGTGAAGATTATTGACACAAACACTTGTAATTCTCCAGAAGCATATAATGGTTTGATACTGGATACAATGATGTGTGCTGGGTACATGAAAGGAAATATTGATGCCTGTCAGGTAATTCTGGACATTACTCATATTGACCAGAAGGTACACAGATAGCTGATATTATTTTGTGAAGAATTATCCACATGGAGACAATTCTATGCTTCAGTTTTTCTGAGCCTTCACAATCCCATCAAAGTTCCTATTTGCACTAAAACTCCTATATGTAATATGTTTTTAAGTGTTTAACAAATATTTACACTACACTTTCTCTGAGTCAAGCACTGTCCTAAAGTCCTTTATAAATAATAGTTCATTCATTTAATCGTCATTACAACCTTATGATGCATGTACAAACATTATGCATATTTTATAGAAGGGGAAACTGTGGCAGAAGAAAGTTAAGTAACTTGCACAAGTTCACACAGCTAGTAACTGGCATACAAGCCCAGGAAGTCTAGCATCACACTCTACACTCTTAACCAAACTTCAATGAAGGATCATTCTCAGAAGTATTTCAATTACATTCAGCCCATACCCAAATTGCTTTTACCTTCTTACCTCTTTCATAGCTAGGATTCTGGTTACTTTTCTCAGACATAAACCCTAAACTTCAAGTACATTCATATCATATGCCTTCTAAAATCTTTCTCACAGTAGAGCTTGCAACTTATCCTGTCATGCCATTGAGTTTTAGGTAAACTCTAGACAGTACCACGGAAGACATTCTGGTCTGGGTGACACAGGGATTTACATCTTTTTATGCTCTCTATAAAGCATTAATCATTTACCACTTCTTCTGGGCTTATTTGGTATAAATATCTGAAAGGACGTTTTCATAATGATAAATACTCTTTTTTTAATTTAGGGTGACTCTGGAGGACCACTAGTTTATCCCAATTCTCGAAGTATCTGGTACCTTGTTGGAATAGTGAGCTGGGGAGTTGACTGTGGTAAAATCAATAAGCCAGGGGTCTATACGCGAGTGACCTCCTACCGCAACTGGATTGCCTCCAAGACTGGCATCTAAGAGCAAAACATCTTCCAGCAACTACTGTAGGTCATTTTTGCCTGTTACTGATAAGCCTTATTTAACATGCATTGTAAATTAGCATGTACAGGGCTGTTTTGAAAGAACTTTGTCCTGAGGGAATATTTATAAACTTTAGTTTCAAACTGACCTGAAAACAAAACAAAATGATCTCATTTTTGGTCTAGAAGAGACTAAGCAAATAAAGTAATCCCATCGAAAACCTAGGTAATTATAATATTTGTTTTCTATTTCATTAAACCATATTATGGCTATCACTCCACAGATGAAGGCCTTGGTTACTGTCATACAGAATTTCTAGAATTAGGCAAGTATGTCCTCTTCCATGGCAAACTGGCAGGCAGCACAGTAAGAGACTGAAACCAACACCTTAGAAGGTTTGGGTTGAACCATGTGGTGTCTGTCTTCCTGCCATAGCTCTTGTGAAAGGGATGTGGTTGTGAGGTAAACCTGGTCAGAGTTAGGTATTACATTACACTACTGGGTTTTGGATCAATTCTTATAATTATTGTGAAAGAATTTCATCAGCAGCAAAATTAAACAAAACAACACATTTTAGACTTATAGAGACCAGGCACCATAATTCTTCACTGGTGAAATGGGTTTCTGTGGAAATTTCCTATTTGTAACTTATTTTGAAAATGCAGCTATGAACCATGAAAATGTGTCATGTATTTTGATTAAAACAAATTTAAAAGCATACTATTTTTGTTCAGTGGCAATTTTCTTTATCTTTTTCCTTTTTGGTTTTGTTTATTTCCTTAAGAATTTGCAGGTGACTTTTTTTTTTGTTTCATTATCCTTCTATTTATTTATTTATTTATTTATTTATTTATTTATTTATTAAGAAGGAATGTTGTCTTCACTTGGTCCCTAGTTTGGGCGAGAACTCAGAGTGGTTAAAAAGCTATCTACGGGACCAGCAGTTAGCGTGATGGCTATGTCGCTGGACTCCCACGTAGTCGACTGCAGTTCGCGTCCTGGACCCGGTGGCTTAAAACTCACGTGTGCGTGCATGCCCAAGATCCCGAGAGGAGAATGGAGGAGAAGGGATTGCGGTGTGGCCATACCCCTGGGGGGTGATTTCTTGCTTTCTGTCTCTCTGTCTCTCTCTGTCTGGCGAGCGCACGCGCCCTATAGCGAAAACTTCTCCGCCCCCCCCCCCAAATAAAAAAAGCTACCTAGAAGCTCAGGCAAAAGCCCCAGGCTGGTGGGATGTGGTGGGCTCCCCCTAAGGGCACTAGACACAGGAGGCTCTTAGTCACACTTGAGGACGAGGTCAGCCTAGCCTGGGATGGTCCCCCACTCTGCCGAGTTGGTCAGGTAGTTGCCCATCTTCTAGATGACTTTCAACTTCCTGTCTAGGAAATGATTCTCTGGGAAGCCACAGAGATGGAGTGTGTGTGTGCATGCACACGTGTGTGTGTGTTGGGGGTGTTCTCTGAAATTTGATTGCCTTGTGACAGTATCTGGAGGTGAGGTCTTTAAGAGTTGAGTCAGGAGGATTCTACCCTTATAAATGGGTTAATGCTATTATCATAGGAGTTGGCTTATTATAAAATGACAAGTTCAGTCCCATTTTGCACTCTCTCACTGCTCTCCTGCCCTTCTGCCACATGAGTGTCTGTCCCCTCTAGAGGATGCATCACTCAAGTAACCATCTTGGATGTAGTGACCAGCCCTCATCAGACACCACACTACTGGCACCTTGATCTTGTACTTCCCAGACTCCACAACTGTGAAAAATAAATTTCCTTTTTTTTTTAATAAACTATCTAGTCTGTGGTATTCTGCTCTAGCAGCACAAAATAGACTAAGATGACAGTAGTCAAATTTTCTTGCTTTAGTAAAGACCTCAGCTACATGTTAATTAAATGTTAAAAGAAAAGCAGAGATAAATCAGTATTTCTGTGAAACTTAGACAAGAACAGGAAAACTTAGTTACCCAGATAATCTTATCTTGATTAGGAGCTAAAAGCCACTTGATGAAGCAAATGGAGGAGAACACTCAGAACTTCCTAGAGTACAGTTATCTTTTGCTTTCATTAATCATAGATATAAATGTTAGATGAAAGGATAAATTGCTGTTTTAGAAATGCAGGCTGCATTCGAGTAGAAAAATAAATCATATAAAGAAGTTACTCAAGTGGCCAGTAGGTAGCATGGTGGTTAAGGCACTGGACTCCCACAGGACCACCCACTATTCAAGTCCCAGGTCAAGCAGTTTGAAAATCACTCTAGGCATGTGTGCATGTGTGCATGTCCCCGAAATCCCAAGAGGAGAATGGAAAAGTGATGTGGCTTGGCTGTCCCAACGAGGGGATGATTTCTCACTTCCTTTCTCTCTATTTCTGTTTCTGTCTCTCTGGAAAGTGCACATACCCTATGGCAAAAACTTTAAAATAAAACGAAAAAGGAGTTACCCTAAGAGATACATACAAATGAAAAGGAACTAATTCATTTTTAGATGGTGCTAAATCACTCCGTTTTCACCATGATGATATGTACCTTTTTATATTAGAGTAATCTCACTGACAACTACTTCTGGGAGCTGTTCAAAAAAGGGGAATAACAAAAGCAGTATTATATCTGAGACCAGCAGATGGCATAATGGTTAAGGCACTGGACTCTCACATGGTTGACTGCGGTATGAGTCCCAGACTCAGCAGCTTAAAACACGCTGTGCGCATGATCCAGTGGCTTGAAACATGCTAGACACATATGCGTGCATGCTAGAAATCCCAAGAGGAAAATGGAGGAGAAGGAATTGCTGCATGACCATCTCCCCTGGGGGAGGGGTAATTTCTCACTTTCTATCTCTCTATCTCTTTGGTGAGCGCATGCGCCCTATAACAAAAATCTCTAAAAAGAAAAACAAAACAAAAGCAGTATATCCACCTTCTTCTGGGAGAGTCAAGGAAGATTCGAGCAGAAGTTGGATGCCCACTCTCTAGAAGGGACAGAGGAGATTCAAAGATCTGACTTGTGTTGGAAGCAAATTTAAAAGTTAGAGAAAGTGGTACTAGTGACTATGAAGATACTAATCGACTTTGTTATTTAATGTTACGAAGTTCAGATGGAGTTTCTGTAGTAGTTGAATTGTTTCACATGAGCCCATGCCAGAACTCCATTTTGGAATCAGAATCTTCTTGGCTCCCATCTGCCCCTGAGATCCTGAGTTGCTCTATTTGTTTGTTTGTTTATTTACTTATTTTCTTCTTTTATTTTCTTATTTTTTTAACATTCAATCACTGTACATATTTATAGCATACAAACTGAATTTTCCTAGCATGAATACAAAACATTAACAAAAACAAAAATGAAAATGTATTTGTTGAACCTGAATTTATTTTTGTGGATTAGTAGACTCCATTTTTTATTTAAAAATTTATTACAAATAAATGTTAGTGCACATTCCTTTTGTCATTCAAAACTAAATAATGGAACCTGACTTAAAGTGTTTTGACCTTTAGGTATAACATACTGTATTCTCTACTGAATTAAAGTTTGTTAATGACAAACTCTGCAATGAGAAGTAGCAATATAGAGACAGCTATTATATATCTTAAAAAATTTTATGATTATCTATTAAGCACAAATACTACCAGCTAGTATTATTTCCACTCATATATTATTCAAAACAAATAAATAACTCTGTGGATTTTTTTTTTTACCCGATGTCACATGCACTTGTCAGAGAGAGACAGAAAGATAAACAAAAAGAGACAGAGAGGGAGAAGGTACCCTCTAATGGGGTGTGGTCATGCTGCAATCTCTTCTCCTGCATTTCCTCATCTTGTCAGGGCTTTGGGAACACATATACATGTGACTGACATGTTTTTCAAAAGGCAACTGGGGCTGGAATTTGAACCATGGTTAGCCATGTGGGATCTGGCTCCCTTAACCAACAGACCACATGGCTTGCCCAAATATTTTTAATTAGTAGCATATGCCAGAAACTATTAATGGAAAGTTGTAACATACAGTGCACCCTGCATAATTATGTAAACTGGTAAGTAATGAAAAATAAAAAACCAAATGATTACTATCTTGGTTGCTTTATTCTTAAAATGAGCATTTTAAATATGTTTTATGATACTCTTGATATTATTATGTTAACAGTGCAGAAATTGTCACTGATAGTTTTGACTTAAAATATTTATTTTGACCCACCCTGATGGCACAGTTGGTTAGCAATTAAACTACAATGCCAGAAGCCACATGGCTGACCACAGTTTGGATTCTAGGATCAAAAGGAAAACACGACAGGCACATACATGTATGCTTCAGATCTTGAATGGCTGGAGTGCTGTGGAAAGAGGATCATGGCATGAGGAAAACCTGTCGAGGGGCCTCTCTCTCCCACTCTCCCTCTCACTTATCCTAGTAAATTAAAAAAAAAAATCACTTACCTTAAAAATTTCATATAAATGTATTACATTTGAATAAGAAAATGCATGTAGTCAATGCATAATAAAAAGGAGGCTTCACGTAAATGTTTTGAAAGTTTGAAAGTTTATGGTAATATAAATTGTGCATTATACATATTAAAATTTTATATCTTAAAATCTTCAGATGGAGGGGCAGAAAGGCAGTTTTCTAAGTCCTGGGTAAAGGTGCTTTCTTTACAGCACTATGAGTGATACTGAATTATTGCTAGCACGGTGTTTTCTTTTTCCTGTTCTTTTTTTTTTTTTTTTTTTAGGTTTGAGACACAGAGAGAGTGAGAAAGTGAGAAATTCTATTTTATAACTGACCACTCTTTTTTTTATTTTTTTTTAAAGAGGCATGGCACTAGGTGTGTGTTTGCCAGAGGGAGAGAGACATGGACAGTGAGAAGGAAAGTGAGAAATCACCCCCCAGGGAGGGTGGCCATGCCACAGTCTCATCTCCATTCTCCTCCTGGGAGCCTGGATATGCACACATACACACACACTGTGAGTTTTCAAGCCAGAACTCCAACGGTAAGCCATGTGACA